CCTTTATATTGTGCCACGTGTCCCAGCAAAAAAAACCTATTTTTTCTCCATTTATATATTGTCGCAAATACCCTTTTTACAATTATTATTTAAAAAAATCAGCAATTATAAATTATTAATGAAATGTCAATTTTACCCTCTCTATTTTAATGCAATTTTAAATATATATTTATTGTTGAATTAAAATTTATAACGTCAATTATATCATTATTCGTAAAAATCATTAAACCACCCATCCAAAATTGCATCAACCTAAATTCGAACCTGTGACCATCTGAAAACATACAAGAATACTTACCATTAAGACACAACACATAATTGACAATAAACTAACAATACGGATATATATCACAAAGCTACAATTTATAATGGTTATAAAACTTATATAAATAATGTTAAATAAATTATTAATTCTCATATAATTATTATTATTATATATTAAAAATATCTCATACTAACAAATATTTATATAATATAATTTAAAAATCTAAGGAAATGTTGTTCAACTCGTGTAAGTTAAAAATTAATTTCGAAAGCATTTGAAGTTTGAATTGAATCGTAAATTGTAAGATTTAATTAAATCGTAATATTTGAATCAATTAAACTCATGTGTTTTTAATTCAATAACAATATTCAAAGATTTGATCGATTAAGCTCAACTCATTTCAATTCGTAGACAATATTCAAATATTTGAATCGGTGAAACTCAATAATTTACAATAGCATATTAATCAATCTGTGTATAGTTAAAGTTTAGTAACCTTTTTTTATTGAATTTTATTATAAAAAATAATAAAATTTAATTGGTAAAAATCGTAAGATTTAATCGGTTCATGGTTAGATTAAATCTTACGATTTACGATCTGATTCTTACGATTTTACGAATTAAATTATTATTTTGTTGTTAAAATTGAATTAAAAGGATAGTAGACTTTAATTATAAATAGTTAACTCGATTAATACGTTCTTGTCAGTGGTTGAACTTAATCGATTCAAATTTTTGAATAATATTTACAAATTAAAAGGATTTGCGCTTAATTTATTCAAATCATACGCTTTAATTAATCTTATAATTTGATTCTTGCGTAATTTAGGAATTATTTTTTTATGATAAGATTGAATTAAAAATGTATTACACTTTAATTAATAATAGTTAATTTGATTAAGACGTTCTTGTCAATAGTTGAGCGCGCTAATGAATCGATTCAAATATTTGAATAATGTTTACGAATTGAAAGGACTTGAGCTTAATTGGTTCAAATATTACGCTTTGATAAAATATTTTGATTTACGATTAGGTTCTTACATGTGTTAGGAATTAAATATATTATTTTTATGACAAAATTGAATTAAAAAGATATTACACATTACTTATAAATAGTTAAATCAATTTTGTAACATGTTATGTCAATAGTTAAGCAATTGATTCAAATATTTGAATAATGTTTACTAATTGCAAGGGTTTGTACTTCATCGATTCAAATCTTACTAGTTAATTAAATTCAATATTAAAAGAAAATTCACAATATAGTATTTGTAGTATATAATTTTATTTTAAAGTAAGAAAACTACTAATTGGAATGAGTTATAATTTTTTCTTCTTCTAAATAAACATATTATTTTATTTTTTATTTGGATTTGCCACACTATCGATTAAATAACATAAGTGAGTTTGAATTAAGTTATGCATTTTTTTTATTTAATTGAGCATTCTTTACATTTTTAAATTGAGGATTTTATTAATACTTCTAATATTTAATGATAGATGTTTGGCGTATTGAACTGCAATTCTTTATATTTTTCAAACTTTATTTTATTAAATTTGTTAATAATTTATTTAATTCGGGTTTTCGGGTTTCGGGTTTTACCATTTAATAATAATGAATGTTGCAATTAATATTTGCATTAACAGTATTTATACAATTATGGTTAAATATTTTATAATAAGTTAATGTGCTTGGATGGTTAGGAGTGATAAATGTATTAAAAGGTCACAAGTTCGATTTCTAATGAATACATTTTTTTCGATTATTTATCAAATAAAATTCAGTCACAATGAATTTAAATTAATTATTTAATTAAAATATAGTAGGGTGTAAATTAGACAATTCCATGTTAATCAATTTTATATTCATTTAATAAAAAAATAATAGAAGGATAATTTGGTAAAGTACTTCATTTTTTAGAACATAAGCCATGTTATTTTCCTAGGGTCCAGATTTAATCTTAGAAAACTAATGGTGATTAATGCATATCTCAAAAAAGTTTAGAACATGGGGTATCTCTGACCAACCACCTTTATATTCTAAATTCAAGTGTTATATCTGTTTTACTAATAAATGTATGCATTATAAGTAAATACAAACTTAATGTTTATGACAAAATTACATCCAACCGTTTAATTCAATTTCAAATTGTAACCCTAATTTAACTCCAGTTTCATCAGACCAAAAAAATCCAATTTTGACTCTTTCTTTTCGAGCTTTTTTTTTAAAATTTATTTTTCTGCCGCCAGGTTTCAGCATTGACCAGCGGTCAGCGTCAGTCTCCGGCATTGACTTTTTCTTTTTTGATTGTTTCTTTTCTACCGGCGATTAACGTCGGTCTTTTGCGACATTGACTTTTTTTTCTTTTTTATGTCTGCTTTTCTACCGCCGCTGACGGCGGTAATAATGCCGGTCTCCAATGGCGTTGACTTCTTTTGCTCTTCCTTTTTTCTTTTTGTTTTTTTTTTTACATGTTTGTTACTTTTTTCTGTTCGCAGATGACTATTGATAGTTATATTATTGTGGTTGACAGTAAAATTACTGTAAACACAATAATATTACCATCAACCACATCAATATTATTTATTTTTTGGCATTTTTATTTTGTTTGATTTATTTACCGGTGAACGTAATAATATTATTGACTACTATTGTAGGTTAGCAGTAAAGTTAATGTTAACACAATAATATTACTGTCAACCACATCAATATTATTTATTTTTAAGATTTTTATTTTGTTTGATTTGTTGACCGTTCAACGTAATAATATTATTGTCTAATATTGTAATATCACTCTGCTTGGCAGTAAAATTACTGTAAACAAAATAAATATTGTCAACCACATCAATATTATTATTTATTTTTTGTTTGATTTGTTGACCGGTCAATATAATAATATTATTGTCTACTATTATAATATCATTGTGGTTGACCGTAATATTACTATAAACATAATAATATTATTATCAAACACATGAATATTATTTATTTTGACTTTTATATTTTGTTTGATTTACTTACCGGTCAACGTAATAATATTATTGTCTATTATTTTAATATAACTGTGGTTCACAGTAAAAAAATTAATGTTAACACAATAATATCATTGTCAACCACATCAATACTATTTATTTTTTGCCTTTTTATTTTTTTTGATTTGTTGATCGTTCAACGTAATAATATTACTGTCTAATATTGTAATATCACTGTGGTTGGCAGTAAAATTACTGTAAACACAATAAATATTGTCAACCACATCAATATTATTTATTTTTTGGTTTTTTTTATTTTGTTGATTTGTTGATCGGTCAATGTAATAATATTATTGTCTACTATTGTAATATCATTGTGGTTGACCGTAACATTACTGTAAACATAATAATATTATTATCAACCACATCAATATTACTTATTGTTTGGCTTTTATATTTTGTTTGATTTACTTACCGGGTCAACGTAATAATATTATTGTCTATTATTTTAATATAACTGTGGGTTGACAGTATACTGTTACCACAATAAATATTATTGTCAACCACGTCAATGTTATTTATTTCTGGGATTTTTAATTTTGTTTGATTTGGTTGACCATTCAACGTAATAATATTACTGGCCTAATATTGTAGTATCATTGGGGATGACAGTAAATTATTGGAAAACACAATAAAAATTGGCAAACAATAATGTTTTTGGATATGTTGAATTTTGACTGGGCAACG